CAGAGTTGAGAGCAGACACCCAGAATCCTACACCTCCCTGCCTCCCTCGCTCTGTGTTTAAAACAGTTTGTTCTGTGTTCTGCAGAGCGGTGAGCATGGGGAAAACTGCTTTTGCTTCAGAACCAAAGTGGGTGTCTGAAATCTGTTCCTCTCCCCCGGCTTCACGCTGCTGAGGAAGCTGGTGCCAGAGGTGGTCAGAGGCGGAGCTATAGAACCCAGGAAAGATGGGCTGAGTGACTGCAAGAGGAGGTTAGTGCAGGGGGACAGCCTCTGCTACCCAGGCAGGAAGCAGGAAGAATATTCAGGGCCCTGCAAGAAAGGGCCATTTGGCATGTCAGCTGCCGGGCCCTGGGAATGTGGCCAAATTCCCCCATCACCTCCTGCCAGTCCATAAAACCACCTTCGAAAAACCCAGCACTGAATGTGAGCCTCTTCAGAGCCTCACTGTGCGTCTCTGTTTGGCGAGTAACTCTCGCTTCCATCCTTCCGAGGGGATTAGAGCGCCTTGGGTTCACAGTGGTTCTTGACGTCTGTTTCAGATGTCAGTGGAAGTGAAAGTGATGTAAGGTAACTGCATGAGGTGCATGAAGGACACGAGTGATGGTTTCTCTCCAAAGCCTTATTCATCACTGTGACAAAGGGCAGTGCCTTCTCTGCAGGCAGGCTCCTTGGCTCAGGGTGGGTGGTCTGGTTTGCAGGGAGAGTGGAGACCCAAGTTTCTGAAGGAGGATAAGGACCCCCCTAGGTTCTGGTGGTGTGTCCATGTGGTCCAGAGGGCAGAGCATGTGGAGAGGACTCCAAGCTGTTGGAGTCCACACGGATAGATGAGCCTGTTACTCCTACTATTTATTCCATCCTCACAGCAACTCCACGAGGTGGTGCTCACAATTCTCATTTTCTAGGCAAAGAAGCTCAGATGCAGAAAGATGAAGTGGTTACCCACAGTCATATGGCTGGTTAGTGCAGGGCCAGGACTTGAACTCAGGATTGATAGACCTCAGAACCCATGCTATTTCATCTACAAGGTTTGACTGCTGTGCATACAGGGGTAGGCTAGAGAGTCTAAATAATGTGACAGGTCTAGGGGGCCCCTAGTGACCCCAGAGTAGAGCCTTTGTGTGGTTAAAGCATCAGGCAGCCATACATAGGTTGAGTTGTTGAGATGCTCAAGTCCAGAGTGTGAATGACCCCTTTAGGAGAGAAGGTAACATAAATCCCGTTTGTAAGACACTAAGATTCCTGACCCATGGGGAAATCACAGTGACTTACATTTGTTGAGCATTTGGTATGTGGTGGATACTGTTATGGATGCTTCTATACAGAGAGAATATTTAATTCTTACAACTTGATGAGGAAATGCTATCATTGCCTATAGTATAATGCCAGGGTGCAAAGCTTGGAATCTTGAAGGCAGGTAAACCTGATTCACTACCTGTATAACCCTGGAAAAGTCACTCTGCCTCTGATTCTGTAAAATGGGGATAATGTTAGTACCAGTTTAGGAAGATGGTTGGGGGTGTTAAACCACATAACTGTCATAGAGTAAGCACTTCTGGCGTGTTAGCTGGTATAATTATTACCATTGCCATACCCATTGTATAGATGTGCAAACTGAAGCTTAGAAAATTAAGTGAGTTTTCACAATAATATTGGTGCCTTGGTAGTCTGACCCCAGAAATCACACGGCTATTCATCCAAGTAGAAGATATTAATGAGGGTCACAGAGGGTAACAGGAGAGATTCGGCTTAAAGTATCGCAAGAAAGGGGCTGGAGATGGCACAAGGCAAGGAGCTTGCACATATTCTTCTCCAGATGGCCTGTGCCAAGCTCTTGGTCAATGAACTGTTGTCCCTATGATTATCTTTCTCCTTCATAAAGTTCCCAGTGCAGCCATACCCTCCCTTATGTGGAGAGCCAGAAACACTGTTTGCTTACAGTTCCGCCTTGCGCACAACACTGCTCACAGGCACACTCGTCATGTCTAGTTCACAGTAATGGAGCAAGGGCATTGGAGCGTCCCTCGTGCCTCAACTCCTACATCTGGCATGTTTGACCTTCACCTTCGCCAATACCAATTATCCCAAGGAAGTGTGTGTATGTGGGTTGTCTCAGAGACGTTTTTCTTAAAAATGGTTTTTCTTTTATTGATTTTAGAGAGAGAGGAAGGGAGAGGGAGAGAGAGATAGAAACATCGATGATGAGAGAACATTGATTGGCCGCCTCCTGCATGCCTCCCACCAGGGATCAGGCCCACAACCTGGGCATGTGTCCTGACCGGGAATGGAACTGGTAACCTCTTGGTGCATGTATCGATGCTCAACCACTGAGCCACACCGGCCAGACTCAGAGACCTTTTTTATTAGGTTCCAACTGTGCCCATAGCATATGTCCTCCTAAGAACTCTCTTCATTCCTTGTATGTTCAGTGTGAGAAGAAGCTGGTCCCATTGCCTTTTGTTGTTATAATGTAACTGGTGACTGGCTTCCTCAGAGGCATCTTTGCTCCTTGGGAATTATTACATTTTTTTTTTTTTTTTTGTAATTAAGTTTGGAACTCGTCAGTCTCACTCCAAAAGGCACGTGACAGTGCATGTGGTTGATGAATATAACTGCCCTGTGACTTCATTTCCGTGCTTTCTTCTGTGAGTGGGTTCTTGACGCTATTGCCTTTTTTTGTTTTGGGTATTTAATGAGGTTCTGTGGACACCTGATGAGGCTTATAGGGCTCCTGTATTGTCCTCCTTATCAATAAAGGACACACTAAATGTGGGGTGTTTGATGGGGGAGTGGTTCCTCAGGACAGTAGGGTGATAATGTTGAAAGGTTTTATATTTTGGACATGACATTCAAGAGCCATACAAAATACAACCTCAGATACTGAATTCTCCCCCTTCACTTTATGTTTAAACCAAGGACGTTCTTCGTAGGCTACATTCACACATTCATCCACTCATGCATTTCCTCACCCTCCATTAACTGATGTGTCATGTGCCGAGGCTTCTGCCAGGTTCTGGGGACAGAGAGAGGAGGACAGCAAAATCTCTGCCCTTGGGTAGTTCACACTCTTGTTGAGGATGATTTAAAATGATTAATCAATCAAAGAATATTAGATTTCTCCAAAAGCTACTGTAGGGAAAACGATAATTATCTAATGTCTTTAAATCTATTTCCCATTTTAATTGATTTAATTAGGTAAAATTCATAGAACTGTAATGTTGGAAGGGACCCAGAAGGCATTTATTCCCGTTTTTTCTCTCTTCCTTCAAGCCACACTGCACTCAAATTATCCCCTTAACCCATACACTTTGGAAAAGGGGAGTATTTAGAAGAACTACAGCTTTTGGCCCATTCAGATAAAACTTTGCGTTCAGTGAGAGTCTGTAGGAAAAACTTTGCAGACGTGTTCAAAGAGTTGAGATACACAGCTATGAAGTATTGTTCTGAAAGACATGAATGGAATCACTCACTCTTAATACACACACACACACACTAGAGTCTCCATATTCGTACACTGAGATTGTGCTAAGTGCACATGGTAAATACAGAACGCAAACTGAATGCATGGCTGTGATATGATAAGGACCCTTTGAGAATTCTTCCAGTTCCCAGCAAGAAATACATCTCAGCATTTGTCACATCCTGTTTTGTTATAACACAGAGCCATACCTTCTGTTTCATTGGCACTTTTGCACTATGGTTTAAGCATCTGCTATGTACAGATCTTCAGTGATCCCAAGAATGCTGTGGTTTGTATTGGAAAGGGAGCTGGACGTGGGATCAGAGCCTGAGTGTGGATACGTACTAACTGTGAGCCTCTTTTTCGCCTACTACCAATATACCAACCTCATAGGATCATCATGGAGATTTGACGAGTTAAGGGCTAGCAAGGTAATTTGTATGTTGTACAACTGTATGCATCACCTGCCTTTTCTAAATGGAAATGTATTCTCGTGATTAGATCATAGACTTGAGATGTTAGGACTATTAGAGGCTCTTCAACTCAATACATGTTACCATGCCACTTTCCAGTGTAAGAGCATCCAGCAGCCCCCTCCACGCTCAGAATAAGCTAAAGCCTCTGAACATAACCCCTGAGGCCATATGTGATGGGATTCCTGCCAAGCTCTTCAATATCTTCTCATTCCCTCAATTTCACAAACCATAATGCATTTATCTCCAGTTCCTGGAATAGTCAAGATGTATTCTCAGGGCTCCTCTGACTTTAATGTCCCCTTATTCCCCCTCCTTCACACCTAGGATCTCCTTCAACATCCTCTTATGTCTCTCTCAGCCTCCAGTTTAAGGAAGTTGCTCTTCCTCAAATTCCCAGCAGACCTACAGAGGCAGAGACGATGTCTTTGTCTGCCTTACAGATCATTATTTCTCCAAGCTCTTAAATGATATTGCTGCATAGTTAGGTGCTCACCAAATATTTGTTGATTGAGCAGATAGATGTTCACCCAGCATTTATTATGCTGCATGTTACACAGGAGTCTAGAATTCAAGTGATAGAAATTCTACTCAAATTGGCTCAAGTGCACTTGTTGGCTTATAAACCAGCAGGTCCAGAGTAAATGGCTTCAGGCACAGCAGACTCCAGGTGGTCTATGTTGTTTTGTCACAGCTTCATTTTCCAGTTATGAGCCTGGAGGCCAGAGAGAGTTCATTCTGTTGGAAACATATGGACTCAAAGGAGTGGGGTGGATGGCATGAACTAGAGGAAAATAAGAATAGATGATGGGATGGCAAAAATAACAGATGTTTTTCACTGTACCAGAGTGTGGGCTCCAAGTTTAGGACCTCTCTCACCTTTGTATTTCCAGTATCTGTTCCAGGGTGGGGCATATAGTATGTGCTCAGGAATGTTTGAGAACAAATAGATATGTGATTTATTTTCCTTCACTTCTAAGAAGGTGCTTCTTTGAGCCGATAAAGACAGATGGTGCTATATAAACTGCCTTCTGCCTCATCCTGTTTTCCTTTTTTGTACCTGTTGGCAGGATCCGACGTCTACATTCTTCCAGTTTGGAGCGTCCATCCAGCAACAAGCCATTGTCATGCTGAAGATCATGCAGGATTACGACTGGCATGTCTTCTCCCTGGTGACTACCATCTACCCTGGCTACAGGGACTTCATCAGCTTCATTAAGACCACGGTGGACAACAGCTTTGTGGGCTGGGACATGCAGAACGTGATCACCCTGGACACTTCCTTTGAGGATGCAAAGACGCAAGTCCAGCTGAAGAAGATCCACTCTTCTGTCATCTTGCTCTACTGTTCCAAAGATGAGGCTGTGCTCATCCTGAGCGAAGCCCGCTCCCTTGGCCTCACTGGGTATGATTTCTTCTGGATTGTCCCCAGCTTGGTCTCTGGGAACACAGAGCTCATCCCCAAAGAGTTTCCATCAGGACTCATTTCAGTCTCCTATGATGACTGGGACTACAGCCTGGAGGCGAGAGTAAGGGACGGCCTGGGCATCCTGACCACCGCCGCGTCTTCCATGTTGGAGAGGTTCTCCTACATTCCTGAGGCCAAGGCCAGCTGCTACGGGCAGACGGAGAAGCCAGAGACTCCACCGCACACTCTGCACCAGTAAGAGAGGGCGCTTTGCTTGTCTTTCTTTGCTTGGGATCAGAGTTGTGTTGTAGCTGTTGTTTGTTTAAATACTAAGAGCAATACATATTCATTGCTGAAAATCAAGAATTTGATTTGTATGTGCTTATGGGACTTTTTAATTTGATTCTGCGCTTCCCTTCCCTCGTCCTCTCTTCTCCTCTCTTTTTGTTTTTTGGTAACTTTGTACTTTGTTTCCTGAAACTTAGTTATTAACTCAACAATATACCATGGAAACTTATACTTGAGATCGATCAAACTATTTATTTATCCATCCATCCATCAATTCCCTATCTATAGACATATGTTAAGTATGTATATATGTGTAGATATATGGGCATATATACACATGTATGAATATATGTAGATATATGTATTTTTACACACACATGTATGAATATATAGATATGTGTGTATATAGATATACATATGTAAACATATATATATACATATATATATGAATATCTACATTCTTTGTAACTTACACAGTACATTCTTCAATAGGAACATACCATGATTTATTTATCCAACCTTCACAATGATAGAAATTTAGGTTGTTTTAGGTTTTCTCCATTAGAAACTGCTCTGCAGTGCTGATCAGCCTACATGTCTCTTCATGTATGCGTGCAGGTATTTCTCCAGGGTGGATTCTGAGAAGTAGAACTTGGCGGTCCTAGAACATGTACCTTTTAAAATTTAAATATCTGTCACCAGATTGTCCTACAAAGTACCTATACCAATTTATATTCACACCAGCCATTTGTGAAATCACTTGACTTCCCACATTCTTACCAACACGGTACCATTTGGGAAAACTGCTCATGCTGGTGCTCCGAATCTCTCTTTGAATATGTATCTGAATTTCTTCCCTTCTTATGTCTTATTTCTGTAGGTCACTGGGAATCTTGGCAAATGCTTTTAAAGCTGCATTATGTCCCGTCACATGGATGTATCATAATTTATATAACAGCTCCCATCTTGGTGAACGTTTAAGTTAAATTTTGTGTTTCTGAGAAGTGTCATTGTTCTTTGTGGCCCATCATTCTGACTCAGCTGTTGAGACTGAAAACAGTCACACTCATACACCCATTTTGCATGTTTTTGCCTGATGTTCGCTCATTCAACCCATGCGCATCGCTCAGATAATGTCCTTCCTTGTCGCACCGTGATTAAGGGACTGGGCTCTGGAATTAGACTCGGCAGGGTTCAAATCTTGTCTCAGCCACTTTCTATATAACTTGGACAATCGTTTTACTTTTCTGGGCTTCAGCTATTTGTTGCAAAGCAATGATAACAGCATCTATTTTCTAGCAGTGTTTCTGAGCTCCAGTATGCGTGAGACTCACTGGGAGGGCTTGTTAAATCAGATTGCTGGGCCCCATGCTCAGGGGCTCTCATTTAGAAGCTCTGGGTGAATGCCAAGAACCTGTAATTCTGACAAGTTCTTGGGTAATGCTGAAGTTGTGGTCTGGGGACCATGCATTGAGAACCAGTGTTCTAGGTGTTTTGTGAGGATGAAATGAGGTCACACGTGAAAAGTGCTACTTAGCACAGTGCCTAGCACCTGCTAATTATTTCATGACTGTCAGAGTGATGGGTGCAGTTGTTTCTGGTCACCAGAAATTACAGTCAGCAGACTCGTTTGGTTTATTATTAGTAGAGTAACATGTCACTCCAAATGTCTCTAGAAAGTTTTAGATTTGGAATCTGCAACAGCTCAGGACTTGTCTCTGGGTTGGGGCTGGAGGTGTGTGTGTATGTGTGTGTGTGCCTGTAATACGTGCACAAAATTGACATAATCCTAAAAAACTCTTGAATTAAGAAATCATGGTCTCCTGAAATTTCCCCTTTCCCTCTCCTCCTCCTCTCTTTAACGATCTTGTTTCTACATTGCCACTTTCAGCATTTTAAATAATTGTCCAAATATCAGGAAGGAACTGAGGTAAATCAGTAGGAAAAGGGAACCTCTCACAGAGGCAGGAGGGCTGCCAGCCCAAAGACAACGGCTGGGCTAATAAATCCCTACTTTTTATTACAAGAAGTGCCCTGTGGCTGGAATATTTAGAAATGTATAATTTTGATGGAAACATAACTCAATTTTAGAGCAATCGAAATATAATACATACAGGAAAAGGAATTATGAGGATAATTGGCAAGACATTCAAATCGCATTCCAGTGACCACCTGAATTCCATTTCTAAAAAAAACCAAAAAACCTACTGCTGTGAAATGCTGTTTTTCTCCTTCCGGGAGTTACGTGTTTGAGTGCAGCAGTTTTTGTGGGTGGCATTTCAGCCCCGTCTAAGGAATGTGTCAGGTGTGGGAAGCCGTCATCCACTGCCCGGTGCTGAATGACACGTTTCCCATTTATGGAGCGCGGTGGTGCCCACCTTGTGGGAGAGGCTGGGATGTGGCACGAACAAAGGCCCCTCACTGTGTTTCCCCATTATTGCTGCTTCTTAAACGCGCCCCGGAGAGACTGGGACCTTTCCAAGGCGAGGCAAGGACTGGGGCTTGAAAGAACCCAAAGAAGGCAGTTTTTAGGAAAAAGATTAAGTCCAGCCATTGCAGCTCAGTGGCTGAGCATCGACCCATGCACCAAGAGATCACCAGTTCAATTCCTGGTCAGGGCACACGCCCAGGTTGTTGGCCTGATCCCCAGTGGGGAGCATGCAGGAGTCGGTCGATCAATGTTCTCTCTCTCCCTTTCACTTCCTCTCTCTCTAAAATCAATAAACAAAGAAAAAGAAAAGGATTAAGAGCACTATATCTTTCCATCCTCCAAAAATCACTCCTATCCTCCAGCGGACCTGTGCTGGCCCTCTGTAACCTTGCTTCTCAAATAATATGGACTCAGATGAGGATAGGGGAAATTCGTTTAAAGTCAAACTCAGATAGCAACTCTTTTATTACTGAAAATGCAGAATAGTACAGAAAAGTGCAGAGTCCAATAAAATACCCACCTTCGTACTTAACCACAGAGAACCAAAGTTACATTGTCACATGTGTGTCAAAAATTTTAAAAGAAATAAAACATTTTAGCATATCCCTCTCAGTTACTGTTTTGTATTCTGTTGTACAAGTGTTCCGTGTTTTATTTCATCATCCCCCTTCGATGGACATTCAGGTTGCTGATAGGAAGGGATCTTCAGTCTGGATGGCCAAAGGCAGAGCCCAGATCCACCTTCAGCTTGAGTTGGACTCCTCAGCTTGCTCAGTTGAGCTCGGGACTCTGGAGTTAGGGATTTTCACTTCAGGCTTTAAAAGTTACATTTTCAACTGGATTAAAGTCTTTCTTTGTAAAGCATCTAGTAAACAGATAGCTCCGTGACTTCACTGTGTAGAAGGGAGGATTCAGATGGCTTCAGATGGAGCCACAGCTGATGGTTTCATGCTGGTTACCGAGAGGATCTGGGGTCCCGCTCTGACCAGCTGGGGACATCTTAGGGCTAGCTGGCTGTGTCCCTTGGTGGTCCTCATGGGTGTTACTTGTAATCGTGTGCACAGAGCTTGTGTAGTCAGGGTATTGTAGCAGTGACTTGCTGCAGTGTAGCTGGAGCGGTACAAAGGAGAGCTCGCTCGGATGACGTGTTCATGATCTTGCTGTGGACTGTTTCCATTTCTGGGATTTCAGAACAGATCAAGTAGGGGAAAGGGAGAAATAGTCTTCGCGTTGAACATTCCTGGTTTTACAGAAGGCACTTTGAAAAGAGCAGTCAGCATTTTCGAAAGTTCAAAAATAGCTCAGCCATGTTATGTAACCTCCTCCTCCTTGCTACTGCAAAGTTATTAAACATCTGTTCCTTCGCCAAGCACAGAGCATAGCACTGGCAACTCCCAGAACTGTGCAGGTAAACCATTACCTGTCTTGCTGGTGTGGAACCTAGGCTGTTCTGTCCAGTTCCCAAGAATCTGTCCAGTCCACTGGTGGATGGGCCCCCTGGGAGGCAGTGTGCCTGACGTCTGGGAGTGTGGGCCCTGGAGCCAGACTGCCTGGTTTGAATCCCTGATCGGAACTCTCCTAGGTCTAAGACTTTGGGCAAGTTACTTAATTCCTCCTGGTCTGCTCCCACAGGTGAAACAAGGGGCTAAGAAAAGTAGTTACCTCTTAGCCCGTAGCCTGGCCTATGGAAAGCAGCCTATAAATGGTTACTGGACTTGATAAAATGTGTGTGTATATTCATGTGTGTTCTGTACTGGAGGGAACACATTTGACACTTATTGAGGAGGAGATCACAGAAGGGATAAGTAGATGTTTTTTAGATCTAAATCCTCTTGCCAAGGGATTACCTTGGGAGAAAGATGGCCAGGGGGAAGAAAGGCAATGTGGCATAGAGAATTCAGGAGCTGGGTAATATGACAGAATTGGTTTTGAATTAGCCACACACTGACCAAGTGTAAGTGACAAATCACTGTGTACTTAGGTTTTTGTTGTTGTTTTTTTTTTCTCCTAAAGTGCATGCATGTGGGTGTTATAGTCATCCTTTTTATTGTAGCAGAATTAAATAAAAGTATACATGAATAACACTTCTCATTGTACCTGGCAGGTGGTAGGCATTTCACAACTGTCATTACTGCCTTTTTATTGTTTTAGGATGATAATCGCCATCATCGTTATTATTACTTTAACTCGCACTGTTCTACTGCAAGCTGTACACAGGCAGGAGTGAGAAATGGAGTGTATTTTGGTCTTATGTTTTAACAACTGAATTGCAACTAAATATCCTGTCACATCCATGTTAGTGGGGGGGGGGCAGTAGGACATGGAGAAGCTACTGAACTGCAAGTCGAATAGAAGTGCTCGAGTAGATCTAGAGCCCAGACGAGTGAGGAAGGACCATCTCCTGGGAGCATTATGCATTAATATTGAAGGGAAGTTATTTGGCTTTAATTGATGACACCTGACTTGACCACTTACATGTTTTACATAAACTCTTGATTTATGAGACGAGGCTGCTGCTTTAAGAAGCAACAATATT